GACTTCAAATGTACCTTGTTTGACTAAAAGATCCTAGTTAATGAATTCTGAAAGTTTCAAGTCGATCTGATAATCTGAAGTATTTTTCAGGATTTTTCAAATGTGATTTAACGTGAATTTTCTAACTTTTTCTGCTATTAAGTTGGAAAAAACCTCATAACTTTATTTCTGAGCTTCAGATTGACTTCAAATGTACCTCGTTTCATAAAAAAATCCTGGTTAATGAATCCTGAAAGTTTCAAGTCGATCTGAAACTCTGAAGTATTTTTCAACGGTGATTTAACGTGAATTTTTCAATTTTTTCTGGTAATAAGTTGGAAAAAACCTCATAATTTTATTTCTGAGCTTCAAATTGACTTCAAATGTACCTTGTTTGATAAAAAGATCCTGGTTAATGAATCATGAAAGTTTCAAATCGATCTGATACTCCGAAGTATTTTTCAGGATTTTTCAAAGGTGATTTAACGTGAATTTTCCAACTTTTTTTGGTATTAAGTTGGAAAAAACCTCATAACTTTATTTCCAAGCTTCAGATTGACTTCAAATGTACCTTGTTTTATTAAAAGATCCTAGTTAATGAATCCTGAAAGTTTCAAGCCGATCTGATAATCTGAAGTATTTTTCAGGATTTTTCAAAGGTGATTTAACGTGAATTTTCTAACTTTTTCTGGTATTAAGTTGGAAAAAATCTCATAACTTTATTTCTGAGCTTCAGATTGACTTCAAATGTACCTTGTTCGATAGAAAGATCCTGGTTAATGAATCCTGAAAGTTTCAAAAGTCGATCTGATACTTCGAAGTATTTTTCAAGATTTTTCAAAGGTGATATAACGTGAATTTTCCAACTTTTTCTGGTATTGAGTTGAAAAAAACTTCATAATTTTATTTCTGAGCTTCAGATTGACTTCAAATGTACCTTGTTTGATAGAAAGATCCTGGTTGATAAATCCTGTAAGTTTCAAGTCGATCTGATATTCCAAAGTATTTTTCAGGATTTTTCAAAGGTGATATAACGTGGATTTTTCAACTTTTTCTGGTATTAAGTTAGAGAAAACCTCATACCTTTTTTTTTTAGCTTCAGATTGACTTTAAATGTACCTTGTTTGATAGAACGATTCCGTTTGATAAATCCTGAAAGTTTCAAGTCGATCTGATACTCCGAAGTATTTTTCAAAGGTGAATTTTCCAACTTTTCTGGTATTAGTTGGAAAAAACCTTATAATTTTATTTCTGAGCTTCAGATTGACTTCAAATGTACAGGGTGCTGCAATGAGGAGTGTTGTAACAGGAAAAACATACTTCCAGACCAGATACAGAAAAATTGACTTAGGTGTCATGAGATTGATTTTCGAAAAACGTCGATTGTCAAAAACTGTATCGCGATATCTTCAATTCAATGGTACCATTAATACTGGGCGATTTTTCCCTATTAAAAAATAGCTGTTTTGTTGTTTGTCAATTTTTTTATTTCTGTAAAAACATCTTTGAAATACTTTTTTGAGCAGAATCCAGTGGCGTAGGTAGATATTGACCAAAGTCTGATTTTTTTAAATAGGACACCTAGTGATGTAAAATGCTTGAGCAAGTATTTTAGGAGAACGTTCTCCGAGCAGGATCGAAGGATCGAGAATTAACGAGAATAAACGAGCAAAAACGAGCAGGACCCGAAAATTTATGCTTTTTATCAGACGCTGAATAAAACAAAACATTTTTCTAAATAAATTCTGATTTTTCTCAAATTTCCCGAAATTCCTAAACTTCTCGTGGAAGTTCTGAATATTCTGAAAATTCTTCATAAATGTGCTGAAAATTCTCAAACTTCTTGGGAAAATATAATACATATATCCTATTCACAATCTGTAGTCCAAAGGTACAGGTAAATTTATCACCTTTCCCTATCAAATAGCATTGAAAGGTGATAAATTTTACATGTACCTTTGGACTACAGATTGTGAATAGATAATAATTAATCTCATATTTTGTGAATTGTGTCTTGTGTCATGTTTCACAACAATAATTATTCTAATTTGGGTTTTTTTTCCAGTAGAACGCTACCTTTGCTTACAAAAAAAAATAACTATTGCTGCTAAGTTGCTTCCTGGTTCTCGGGCTCAATATTTGATATATCTCCACCTTCAACAGCTTCCATAAATATATCTCTACTCTATGGCGTCATGTGATTTTATTGGTTAGGATCGTGCTTGAGGACGTGCTAAATATTCTCTATCGTGCTCAATGTGCTCCGAAGGTAATATTCAGCACGAACCTTTTTTTCGTGCGCGAACGTTCGCGAATGTTCTCGAAAGCACAATCAGAACGTTTCCTTGTTCACATCACTAAGGACACCCTATTATATTGATGATATTCCAGGTTTCTTTCTGTTTATTCCCTGATTTTCTCAAGCGGTCACGATAATACGTTTCCTTTGCTAAGGAAATCAATCTACGATACATGGAGCGATAACTCAAAAAATATTGGTGGAAAACTGGACAGTACGTAAACCTTCTGATGGTATGTAGAGATCTAAGATTCTTTGAAGAAACCTTGAGACCCTTGGTAAACCAGGGCTTCTTGTGGGGTTTATTTTTAATTTTTCTTATGGGAAACGCACTATTGAAAACTTCTTGAACAGTTGCATGAAACTCTTGAATTGGGTCTTGGGAGCCCAGTACATGATTCCACGAGGTGGATGCAGTCCCGGAACATAGGGCACCAAAACGACTCGAAAAACTACTGCCTCATGATCCGACAAGGCTGCATTCAACACAGAACATTCCGATATATTATTTTCCTCATAATTAGAGCAAACATAATCAATTGTACTTGACGAAAACTTAGAATAACGTGTGGGGGTGGCTACATGCATCTGTAGATTACTGGACGCCAAAAGATTCTTCAGATTGATAATATCAATCGAGCTTCCTTCATTAAAATTAATATTAAACTCATCACACAATATTATTGAAGCATTACCAGAAATACGAAAGAGCAGCTCATCCAGTCTCTCCAAGAAAGCTTTAACATCCGACAACGGAGAACGGTAAATACAAACTACATACAAATCAAGTTTTTTCGAAAAAACAATTGTGCATTCAAAAAGCACTTCCTCGAGAAGATTATTATATTTTATTACTGGCTGGAATAAATTATCTTATAAAAAGTTTTTGTTACCAAATATCATACAACCTCCATGAGACGAACGAGATCTGCAGAATGATGACAAAACTGTGTAACCCGGAACAAACACAAGTTCGTCCTCCCTCAACGAATGCTCTGTAACCAAGACCAAATTTGGGTAATTAACCTCATTCAAAAACAACAAAAATTCATCTGTTTTGTTTCTGAGAGACTGAATATTAATAAGAACCAAAGTTAGTTGACCCAAATTATCAGATGCTACGGACACTCCGGTTGATACATACTGTAAAAAATTATCATTACACATACTTGATAAATTAGCATCAGCGTTTATACTGACATGGTTAGAACATGACGTAGTAGCACAATTTTCTTTAGTTAAAAAAATTTCCGCATGCTCTCCATGAAAATCGCTACTTTTTTTAAAATCTGTCAAACTATCGTGAATTGGGATTGTTTTCAAAACAATTTTATTTTGAGACTTGTTAGATAAAATATAATTAGAGATGGAAGCACACAATTTCTGCCTCGTGAACCAATAGATTTTTTTATTTTTAACATTTTCAAAAACTTTAATAGACATATTATTGGCCAAATTAAATTTGTCAATACAATTCAAAACTCGCTTATACACAACAGAGACCCTAACATCATATTTTATACACAAAACAAGATTTGTAAATCTGCCTAGTGCCAATATGATCTCTAAATCCCGTTTCCTTAACACATTGGTTGCCACGTCATACATATACGGGTGACAGTGATGTTTGCTGGTGGGCCGCGTCATATGGGCGACATGGCCTGCATGCATAACTCCGCGCCAGGCTGCGTCATACAAATATAGGCGACGATCAGTGTATTTTCAATAGGGATGCTGTAAGGTGGCCCCCTGAGAAACATTGTGATATACCTACTTGGTTTTAGGAAATCTTTTAATTTACATATTCTACGGGCATTGAAAAAAAATGGAAGGGAAAAGTGGGAAAAAAATAAATTTTTATTCAAAAACTGCCAAATACCATAATTCTAATAGCAAAACTTGAAGATCTTTCATGAACATCATCAAAAAAAATAATAATTGAAAGCGAACAAAAAAAAATTCTCCACACTTTCTACTTATAATAAAAAAAAAAATAAACGACTCACAAACTAGGCAAATCAAAATGTTTACGAATGCATTGCATTGAAACATGGGAGACCAAATAAATAATAATTGAAAGTGAAAAAAAAAAAAAAATAATTCTCTACATTTTCTGCTTATAATCTAAAAAAATGAACGACTTACAAACTGGCAGGCCACGTCACCCATATAAGGGTGACACGTCAAAAACCTCTTTTGACAGTTGAATCACACAAAAGATATCAAAAAACGTCTAAAGATAACGTATTTTGAAAGTCAAACTCAAAAAATCTCAAAAAAAAATGTGGCCCTCTGGGAAGCTTACCCAAAATGGCCGTGGCACTCAATGTGTTAAACTAGATAAGTTATTTAAATCAAGCATTACAACAACATAATCTTTTTCTCCGTATTTCCTTGTATGGTCAAACACAGACCTTGAAATGGCACTAAAAGTTGCTTTTGATTTTACCCATCCTTCCACCAAAAATTCTTGTTTATTTAAAAGTTTATTCAAAGAAATGGAGCAATTAGTAGCAGAATAATCCCCATAAATTAAAACTTTTTTTAATGGTAGAGTAGTTTGTGGTTGGCCCTCACAGTGGTTGCGTCATATTTGACTGCTCCAATTTTAGTTTTCTCAGGCGAAAAACCTTCCAGCGAACAGTCTAGAGCCGAAAAAATTCCACTCCAGATTCAATTCCGTCATTTTTGTGGTTATCCATTGCAATGAGAAATTCATTACCTAATTTTTTATTCACCGAGGATAAGAAGTCAACGTCGACACAATCAACTTTGAAGATTTGAAGCTCATTGCGAAGACATTTATTGTCAGCTTCTAATGTTCTGATTGTTGAGATTAGGTTTTTGCTATCCATCTGTAAATCTTCAAATTCAGATTTTAATTTATTAATATTCTCATCCTTAAATTTTACATTTTCGTTATATTCCAATAACAGTAATTTATGAGCAGCAATCTGTTCATTTAGGACTTGAATTTCCTTTTGTCGCTCCTCCAATTCGGATCTATAGTTTTCCTGCTCTATGACACTATCAGACAGTATTTGAGATCCTCTTTTGAGGCGCTTTATAATTACATTTTGGTTTTCCAGAGATTCCGTTAGTTCACAGTTTTCATTTTTAAAATTTTTGTTAGCACTTTCCAGTAATTTTATTTTACCTTCTAATACCTGCATTTTATCCTTTTGATCTTTGATACATTCCATTAAGTCATTATTTTTTGTGTCCAATTTAAGAATCTGATCTGTGTGTGTCAAATTGTTTTTAATTTGAATTTTGTTCAATTTATTGTTCATTTCTTCCAGAAAGTTCAATTTGTTACTCAAAGTGTCAATATCGGATTTGAGTTGTTGCTCATTTTCCAATGCTGATTCATAACAGGTAGTTTTTAATTTATTTAGATTTTCAATGTGGTCGTTTTTAATTCTTAGCTCAAGACGCAGATCACTTATTGCCGTTTGAAGCTCTAATAACTCTTCATTATCTTCTTCAGAATATTCATTTGAGCCTTTAGCGCATTTCTGGCTGCAGTGTATTCTATGGCCTTTAATATATTTTAGAGTTTTATTACGTTCGATGCAACTTTTGTGTGATATTAATTTACACCCAACACAGTAATAACTAATTAGTTTATCCTTTTTACAGCACTTAAAATTTTCATCTCCCATAGTGAAGAGTCGCAATCCTGATCAACACATTCCAATTCTTTCTTCCATTCCAATTTTTTCTTTGAGCAATTATACTCCAAATCAGATATTTTTAAATGGAACCACAAAAATCCAGATTCCAGTTTCTACCAAAGCATTAAAACCCATTTGGATTGACAATGATGAAATAATAGTTATTTATTTACGACTAATGTATAATGTGCGTATTATATTTGTGATTTTGGCAGTATAATGACATATGTTATTCCTCCAGGGATTAATGACGAGTAGCGGGATTAATGGTCATTATTCCACAAAAGTGTCAGTGTCAAACGTGTAGTGCTTGTGGATTTGTATTGAAAATTATGAGACGGATGAAATTTGTTCATTGAAAATCTCAAATAAATTAATTTGTCGTAAATAAAGTAGAGTATACTACTCGCAATAATGGCTATTATTTCCTCGGAATGTTACTCCCTCGCCGCTAACGCGGCTCAGTTCGTAATAATCCTCGGGAATAATAGCTATCATTATTGACTCGTGGTATAATCTACTATTATGTATCAAGGGAATTATGAGGGTGTTAATACCCCAGGGCAAAGTTTGTGTCCCGAGGGCCTTCGGCCCGAGGAACACCAATTGCCCGTGGGTATTAACACCTGATAATTCCCGTGGTACATAGATAATTTTATATCCTACTGAATTTATTCTATTTTGTCCATTTTTATAAAGAAATTAACCATTGACTACCTATATGAGCATTCAGGTGCGTTTCTATGTGCCTTGCTGGTACAAACAAGTCATAGACAAGTAGTAGGTACTAGCTTTGTCTATGGTACAAGTTTTATTGTTTGTTACTATGGCAGAGGCACTCGATACCACAGATTAACCCGTCCTAAAGATAGGAAACTCAGGCCTTTTTCCCTATCCTTGTCTTACTCATGCAGCGAGTTGTATGACTGCCACAGCATGGTGGCGCTAGTGTGCACTTCGGTTCCTGCCTTTTTTCAAATAATTTGTCTAATCAATTTCATTTTATTATTTAACCCTATTTTTTGAAAATAAAACAATAACATTTCAGTACTATCTCCTTCTTTAACAGAACAGCCTTTAACACAACAACAGAAAACCGTATTGAAAAAAAACACTAAAAAGTTAATAGGTCTTGTGCACAAATGACTCCTTAAGTGAAAGTGAATATCGAAAATTGCAAATAAATACCATCACTAGACCATTTCCACAATGTTTACATGTAAAATAATGTCTCTTTGGTTAAAAACATATTAAGAAGTCAAAGTTTTACCAAAAATTGATAGAAAATCAAATAAAGAGCACTAACACACATTAAACGGCTGACTAATGGCGCTGTGCTAATGGCAAAGTTGTGTGATGGCAAATCATAATGGCAAATATAATGACAAATTACATTCACTCACAGATGACATTTGCTTGTGGCTTTGCTATACTAGCGCCGCATAGCTTTGGCAGTCATGAAACTCTCATACGTGTTATTTTTTAGACAGCTCTGAACGAACATTTTACATGGAAGTTTCCTATCTTTAGGACGGGTTAATCTGTGCTCGATACAGTTGTTCAACTCCGTTGACAAACCATTGATTTTTTTGAAGCCAAATTCTATGTCCCTTATTTCGCGCTTGCGCATTATTGATCGGAAACAACGAATCCTGGGCCGTGGACAGAGTCGGACTAGGATTTTTTGTGGATTAACATTGAGAATATAACGGGATCATATTATAATTTCGAAACAAATAATATAATGATTTTTTGGCTGTTTTATGATGATGTGATCTTCTAGAAAAATGGAGCACGCAACCAATGTGCAAAAATTTATTAAAGCTATCAAAAAGATAGATAGGTACTTAAACTTAAAATAAATAGAGAGAAATACCTGAAAACCAAAAGTCACTTGAGGAATAAATAAATATAACGCAGATTAGAAAATTTATTTGAAACTTTTCTTGCAATCAAATATCATATAAACGGGTGTTCACTGGCTCTTAGACCATTAGGACACAGCCAGGATTTCAATCCCATCCAGATTTGCATCACAGTATTAGATATTTTTGGAATGTGGACAATTATTTCATTAGATCAAGATAATTTGAATGTATAGAGTAAACCTAATATGAAATATGTAAATATAAATACTTACAGTCGTTCATCGTTCGGGAAACTAAAATATCCTAAGCCTGGGCTAGTTCTATATTGTTCTATATTCTATAGTGTTGTTTTTACAGACAAAACAGGAAGCAACCATGATAATACACAATATATAAACGATAAAACAGTCAAGTACACAAAAATCGCGAATAACACGGAAAGCAAAACACTCTTAACAGTCTCAACAAAGCCGAATTTCAAATTAATGAATTTTCCGGTTACCTACTTTTCAATTTCCTGAATAATTTCAGTCAAAAAACTTCTCATCTTTTTTTGTAATACAATCCTGTTGCGTGTCTCGTTTGACAGTTATTTCTCGCGGGTTCTCACCCAAGCTATCTCCATCTCTTTTTTGCGTACAGGATTGGAAAGAGACATGTTTATGCCGAACTGCTTTTTCAATTTGATAGATTTGTTCAGTCATTGAGCGCATGCGCAAAATATGGGTCAAAATGCTCCTATTGGTTGGAGAATTTGGCCTCAAAAAATATGGAGAGTTGTACAACTGTGCTGTAACTATGGCTTGTTATTTATAATTAATAAAGGTCACATTTTGTCGTTGAAACGCGTTTTTGGTGAACAAAAAGCTTATTATAATGGACGAGATAATGAAAAAAGCCGAGGAAGCAAGAAAAACGTTGGTCCCAGCCAAGAGTGAGACTCTATATAATAAAGAATATAGAAAATATATTCACTGGCTGGAACAAAAAGGTATCCCAGCAAAGAATAGTGACGAAACTGTTCTCTTGGCATATTTTCAAGAAATGGTACGGTAACTATTGTTCATTATGTTTTGTTTAGTAAGTAATTGTGCCTTATTTATTGCAGTCAGAAAGTTTTAGTCCAAATTCCTTGTGGACTAAATGGTCAATGTCAAAATCCATGCTATCTATACACGAAAAACAAGATTTTAAAAAATTCAACGAATTGGAGGCCTTTTTGAAACGAAAGAGCAAAGGTTATAGACCGAAAAAGTCTGCGGTATTGTCCCCTCAGCATATCGCCAAGTTCCTCAAAGAAGCCCCCAACGACATTCATTTATTAAATAAGGTAAATAACCTAATTTCTATATTTCTTCGTGTATGTATTCATTACCTGTTTTGCAGATAGTTTTAATAATGGGATATTTTGGAGGGTGCAGAACTCAGGAACTTCTTAATATGAAGATAAGTGATATAGAGGACCGGGACAAGGTTATGGTCGTGAGTATACCAGACAGTAAAACGGGTATACCAAGGAAATTCACGATTGTTAATGAGGATGAGTTCGTTGCTCTGCCTTTATTGAAATTTTACATGTCATTACGACCTAAGGGTATCGGAAGATTTTTTTTGAACTACCGCCAAAATAGATGCACCTCCCAGCCAATCGGGAAAAATATACATTCGGGAGAATTCCCAGTAAAATTGCATCATATTATTTAAAATTGCCAGACCCGTCTTCTTTTACGGGACACTGTCTTCGTCGCACCTCTGCCACTGCGCTAGCAGATGCAGGTGCAACTATGACAAACTAAAAAGGCATGGACGCTGGAAAAGTTCCACAGTGGCGGAAGGATATTTAGCCGATAGTATTGAGATAAAAAATCAAACGGCACGGATGCTCTCTACCTTACGATCAGAAGAGGCAGGCATATCAATTCAAATGTGTAACAGCAACAGCCATACAGAAAAAAAATTAAATTGCAGCAATGGAAATAGTTTCCAGGGCAATTTTGATAATTGTAAATGTATTATTTGTAATAATAATAATGATGTTAATAGATTTTTAGAATAAAAGATGAATTGCAGTTTTCAATAAAGCTTTTTTGTCAAAATTTCTATTTTTTCTGAAAGTTTTACCTATTCAAGGTAAAAGCGGGAGTTATAGAAATCCTTAACTCCCTTGGGAGTTTTGATATCCTTAACTCCCTTGGGAGTTAAGACCCTGTTTATGATTATCGGAACCAAGGTATTATATGGTTGTAATAGTTCAGTAGGATATAATAGTTATTTATGTATCAAGGGTACTAAGTAGATGATTATGCCCCGAGGGCGACAGTCTTACAAAGCCGAGGGCCTCTGGCCCGAGGGTTCGTAAGTTGCCCGAGGGTATATATCTATTAGTACCCGTGGTGCATACAAACTTTTATGTCATGCCTGCGCGGGCCATAATGTGTACTTTATGCCCGCGCGGGCCCAAACTAACCCAAATTTTGACCCAAAAGTCGTTCAAAAAACACTCCTAAAATTTCTTTTAGGTATTTTTATTTGAACGGTCTGTCAGAATCTCGAATCAATTGACTTGTTCAAGATATAGGCTTTATACAGGGTGTTTCATGAACGTCGAAACGGAAGCGTTTTGGGGTATTTCGGGGTCGATTTTGAAAGGACGCTCGGACACGTAAATTTTGTATTCAAGGGGGAAACTTTTCGACCCTAGCGGTGTTTTACTAGGGTGCACCCTTTCGCACCCCTTTTTTAGATAGGGAGGATGGGTCGAGTGATACCTTGATTGAAGGTATTTTGAGTATCGTCACAATTGTGTACTTTTTTTAAAAGTCGAGTGATTGGTTCTCAAGATGTTCGCTGTCGGGGTTTCCATGGACTAAGCCGGAGGCAATCTTCAGGGGTCGTATTTTCGAATATTATCGCATACGAAATTTGATACGATTTCGAATGCTCCCCATTTAATTTACATTGCTGTCAGTCAAATTTCGTGTACGAAGTGTACTCGAATGAATTCGAAAATACAACACCTGGCCCTGTACCTAATTCTGAAATTAACACTTTCCTGACTTTCCTTTCGTACACGTCAATTTAAAATTTTTCGTGTCTGAGGGAAAAGTCAGGAAAGTGTTAATTTGAGAATAGCAGAGCTAGAGGATTGTTTCCTATCTGGCCCAGACAGTAAGTGTCTTGACAGCTAATCGTTCGATTTTCAGAGAAAGTGCACAGTTGTGACGAGAATCAAAATACCTTTAAAGCAGGGTACCACTCGACCTATCTTCCCTGTCTAAAGGAAAAGGGTGGGAGTCGCCCCACACAGGGGGTTCAGGGTGCACTGCACACAAACATTTGACACAAACACAAACCATAACGTCATTAGGTTATGTCATTAATGATCATAATCAAATACTCATTTTCTATTGTGTGCGTCTCAATTTTTGGCCGTTTCTACCCAATTACGGAATCCCTATTTTTTGGTCAAGATTGCTCTACCTGCATTCCACTTGGACACGCAGGACCTACCCTTAAAATGTGAAAATATTTATTTGTTGCAACTCCACCGTCCAGTGTTGTGCTTTGATTTGTATTGTTTTTTCACAAGTTTGCTCTAGATTTGATTGATTGAAGAACGATTTTGCTGAAGGGAAGGTAAATGCTCTGCATTCATTTCATTGTGAAAATATTGAAATTTTTAACCATGCATTTCCGTTAGTCAAGTTAAAATCGAAAAAGAAAAAGCCTTGTATCACAAAAGGTTTAAGAATTGCTTCTAGAAAATTTAGGTGTCTTCATTCCTTGAGAAAGTTTGCTCTTGATATTGATAATATATTTTTTATGACCTACTTTAAATAATGGATACAGGAGCATCAATAGAAAGACAATGAAACAGGCAAGGAAGATTTATTACAATGAGAGGTTGGGCATGGGAAATATCATTCAGGTCCTTTCTATGTATAAAGTTCAGCACACTTGGAATTTGAAAAAACTTTACAATGTCTCGATCTCCACGACTTCCACAATTCATAAATACAGCACGTTGTAGGCATGTTTTAAGAACTAAGAACTATTTACTACTATTTCACGAACTATTAACCACTACCTACTTAAATACACTATTTCTAACATTAATAAAAATACGAGTAAAAACAACAGTTTTGAGTATCAAAACGCAAATGAACAATGAGCACTATTTTTTTGAAAAAAATTCCATGACACATATTGAATGACACATAAAAAAAGGGTTTGTGTGCCTCTTGGCGGCCATTTTAATTCAAGTTTGACAGCATCTTGGATAGTTCATTTGCCCATATATTAACCCATTGACGGGCGTGTCTGCATTTGCAGGCAGGTGTCTAGGGACGCGTCTGTATTTGCAGACAAAATTTGTAGTCCTTAAAAAGGCATACCCCTATGCTATAATACTTTATATGTGATTCTTTTAAGTGTCCCAGTAAATGAAAAAAAATATTGAGAAGTGTCTATACACTTCCATTCCATGGGAAAAAATATGAAATTATATAGAAAATGTGTTAATCATTATTATACCAGCAAAAAAATAAAAACATTAATAATTTTAGGTCTATCATCTTTAAAAAAATTTCTTTGCAGTTTCGCTGTGAAGCTCACGGGCTCCTTTCAGGGCCGGGCCTGTGTGCTTCTCACACATGACACACCGGTAGATACGCCACTGCAGATACACCTGAATTAATGACTCTTCAGCTACACTTGAGAGAAGTGAGGATGGTGATGATATTATAGCCCGTGTATTCGGGTTTTCAGAATATGAACCAGAAGTATTTTTAGATTGTAGTTCACATGTATTGCCTAATTTGACAAAATGACTTCCTAAACGTCCTCCATTATGTTATGTTTTAGATAAACATTTAGAGTCCGAATCATTTTCGAAGATTTGTGTTTGGGCCATACTTGTTGGGGCGTACTCAGTTTATCAAAGTTGAGGTTTTCAAATCACGGGTTCATGTTGCAACGTCCCACAGGACTTTAATCTATAGGCCCGTTAATGTTCAATATGTTGATCAACGATTTTCTGAGTGCGCGATCATGTAACAAGCTTGCTTATACGCCCATTGCTTAATTGAAGCATCATCAAAATATAAGCAATAATGATACCTGTGTTTTTCTTCAGGACAATTTGAATACTTTGTGTTGTTGGTGTGTTGATAATAATTTATGAGATTACTTAGGACCGACGAATCGGCTATTAAATTATTGTACCTATTACTGCTTTGTACGTTTAAAACTAGATTATGAGGGGGCATCATAACAGTCTTATTCGCTCGTTTTGACGAAACTTTATCCATTAGACGATAGATATAGATGAAGATGATTAAATTTTTGTTTTGATTGTCACTTTTTGTTGTATTATATTAGCATTTTGGTTTGGTGCCTTTTCTGAATGCCAGACGCTCACTTACTCACTAACTTCCTTTCTCGATACCTAGGTACTCTCCGGACAAATGTGTTATTTCGGTCGCCATTAGGTACCTATACATGATGTGTTATACCTTCCTTCGATATCTGCGATACTTATTACAGCCCTTATAGTTTAATTATTGTTGAAGAGTTGGTGAGAACACATACCTAATTACCTAACTCTACTGCAGCGGCAACTTGTAACTCACAAATCACGATTCATCTTTTTTTGTTCTCTTCTAATGAACATTGATTTTCTTGTAATCGAGCTTGTATACTAACCTAGGTATTGGAAATAAAGACCTATTATCAGATTATAGTTTTCCAGCATACATTTTGATATCTCTCAAAGTTTGAGGGAAACAATTAAAAAAAAAAAAAAAATCTAGGTAGGTATTCATAAATATTAGGTATATAATTGCGTTTTCTATACAAATAGAGCTAATTAATATGGTAAAACTAATAATCCTCAACAACACATAGATTACTAGATTGAGTAATTACAATAAATTCCAATTTTTGGTGAAACTTTTTGTACCTTGTGAACTTGATGATGAGTCATAAAGTTAACGAAAAAAAAAATCGTACCTACCCCTCAATTCAAATACATAGTTCCAATAGCCCAAAAAACTTTTAGCTCGGACTGTACTCATTTATTCAACTAACATCTCTATCTTTCTTTAAAAAATTACCATCCAACCCTCCTCGGGCACCTCCTCACACGTCAACAAACAAAGACAAGCCGAAAGCCCAACGGAGACGGCAAATCGCGATTCCGCCTGTCGACGTGCACCACACACAACGAGTTTCTTTCTTTTTCTCGCACGCCGCAAAATATATATAAATATTCAAATGAGTCGAAGAATTTGCATGGCCGAGGCCCCCCTTTTCACACAGGAATTATTCAGATGCTAAAATATGCAGATGCGAGGTGGAGTTAGGGGCCGGCCCCCTTTTACGCCAACAGTAGCTCACTCTGTGGGGAATACAATTCGAGATGTTGTGTATGGATAATGGATGAATCATGGCCTACTATGTTTTGAGAACAAATGTTTTGGCTTATTATTGATTATTGAAGCTTATAGGCCACTATCACATTTTTGAAATCATTGTGTCATTTCAATAATATTTAAACGCTTATTTTTGAAAATAAAATGATTTGAAAAGCTGCCAAAATATAGGTTAGGACTGTGACGTCAGAGTCTAAAAAATAAGAGGATGCCGGACTTGTCATTAGCATGACTGCGTCTGATTAAAGTATTGGCTACGGTATATAAAGCGAAAATTTAGTACATTTTCAATTCAATTTTATTTTTTGTCTGACGTGTATCGATATATCTATATCTTTGTCTGGCTTATATGGATTCGTCGAGTCGAAACTGGTAACATCTATTGTATTTTTGTATTCCATCATCGTTCAGATTACGTCGAGCTATGTTGTATCCTTATTTTTCATTATCAATTAGATAAAGACCAAGATATTCGTTAAATATACTGAAAATAAAACTTTGCAGATCCTTGTTGGAAATTTTCCCGACATTTTGTGTCGAATTTTTGAACAAAAATTGGACAGTCTTATGCTCTAACGTCAAATTCTCTTTCATCTTTGTAACTCAAAGTACAATAATTATTGAGCTCCTCTATTGAAATCTCGTTTGTAGCATCAAAAAAAAATTCTCAGGACGTAAAATTAAATATTCTCCTCACATACGGGAAATTCTCCTTCGTAATATAGTCAAGAGCCTTCCATTTTCTCCCTCAACATGTAAATCAGGTAAGTGCGCATTTATTAAAAAATGCATTATAAAATCAGCATTATATGGTGCAGCGGTAGCTTTTGATTTAATGGTGGCCTGTTGTTATTCAAGAGGGGAGGTTGTGGCACTCCCTTTTTCACCTTTTATGTAATTTTTTGAGAGGCGTAGTCGATTTTACGTCCCGTATCGCGACGTTTGAGGACCTACTAGGTTAATGATACAAAAAGTTTGACGACATTGAATTATCCTATCATCACTTTTTCAAATACCTATACTTCCCAACAAACACAGTACGTACTGAAGACGTACATTTTAGGTCCTTTTTACGTCGGTTCGTCGGGGATGTAAAAATACGTTTTGAGTACGTACGTAAAAGGCTGTATTGATATACAGACAAAAAAGTACGTACTAAGAACGTACGTGAAAATCTATATTGCGTACGTCTTGTAGAAGACGTACATGTTCGTTTCAAAGACGAACAATACAGGACGAGCTGGATCATTCCCATCTATTCATGATTTTTTTATTAATTGCTGACTCGATTTCTGATAATAATATATTTTTTAATAATATGCAATTTCCAAGGAAAAGATACGGAAGTGATCCTTCCAAATTAATCTCTAAACCCTAAACCCAAAAATGCCGGTCAGGTTGACATGGATAATTCTTATTATTAAACCTTAGATCTAAACTTAAATAAGGCAGGTCATATAATCAAGGATTTATATTTCATCTAGGTACCTGATCTGTGACCTTAATAAATTGTCAAATGTTGAAATAAACATGAAATAAACCAATGGAATGGAAAACAGGAAGGGACACCGGCCACTTGCATCGGCAGGGTGCAGTGTTGCCAATGACCCGATAATTATCAAAATCTATAATTTTGACTACGATTCAATAATCGATAATCACAAGCTAAATTTACCATAATTTATTGAAACTACAATTTTAATGCATATTTTTAGAATTTTTAGTTGAAAATTAAAAATTTATTTGGTTGGTGGTTTTGACGTTTCCCAGCTAGAAATGGATTGAGCTGGCAGCACCGTTTGCCTCCTTTGGGTTGTTCCTGTCTGATTTTGCCTTTTTGGTCTTGTATGTGTAGCTCGTTTGTAGTGTGGTGTATGAGGTTGTATGTTTTCTTCTATTTTTGTTTTTTTTTTTACCAAGTCAAGTGACGCGAGAACCATTTTGTTCCCAGATAGCAAAGAAATATTCAATAAATATTTTTTTTTAAATATTTTTTAAATATAAAAGCGACAGATTTTTAAATATTATTTAAATATTTTTAATATAATATTTCTGAAATATCAAAAAAAAAATAGCATAAAAATATTTCAATTTTTATATTTCTCAAATATTTACAAAAAATATTATATCAATATTTCAAATATAATATTGCACAAATATGGAATATGAGAAAAAAAACTTCAATAAATATTTTAAATAGGTATATATTACTCAGCTAAATATTTTTTTACAAATACGTTTAAATTAATTTTGTCTATTAGGTATTATTGGTTACGTTCACAAGCACTCAACTGTTGCCAACAGTTGAGTAGAGGTATGTTCGCACATAATTTACAAACCAGCCAGAGCATTGGTTGAGGACAGTCAGGAAGCTAGTTCCAACTAATTAAATTCGCCAGTTTGTATAATTTATGTGTGAACAGACCTCTACTCAACTGTTGGCAACGTTGAGTGCTGGTGAAGGTACCCATTAATAGGTCTGTTTTTGCAGAAATCACAAATCAGTCAGTGCGAATTTCATTGGTTGAAAACAGTCAGAAAACTAGTTTCAACCGATGAAATACACTCTGACTGGTTTGTGATTTCTGCAAAAACAGACCCATTATTTTCGCAAACAGACATTAACAAAAAAAAACGAAAAAGAATAGCAACATCATCATTTGGATTTTCTACATCACTCATTGCCTAAACCGTTGATTGCCTAAACCTAATGAATGTCTATATATACACAGGGCGAAAATTAGTTCGAAGGAGCACAAATAAATAACTTAATTATAAGTTTATCACACCGTAGCCACTTGCACTATTAGTATTTTTGTTTTAAACAATAATTATCCACATTTAACACCACTTGAAAACTGAAACCACAATTCACAAGAATCCAAAATGCACGCTAAGGACACACCAAACCAGCGTTGCCAGACGTACGACAGGTGTGGTATTTGTACGACAGTTTAGGGCATATTCGTTACAAGAAAATCAATGCGTACGGTAGTACGGTAAAGTACCACAGTTTAGAAATATTGGGTTGATTGGTAATATTTTATGGTAATATGTACTACATTTCTACATTCTCCTTTTTTTCTTATGTGTGTTGGCCAAATTGGGTAAAAAATCTATGACAGATTTTCAAAGCTTGTGGCTTGAAAACAGTCTATAGGCAATTTTTCCCGAAGATAATCAATCAAGCATAATTTATCGATTATGCTTGATTATGTGATGTGTGAATTGTGTCATACCATACTCCCCCAACTCTCTCACCATCAAATTCTGGGATACTCGAGAATCATCAAGAACACTTAATTTCTTGTGAGAAAACTGACCGAAAATTATTTTTTCTACATTTAAAATCGACGAAAAAATTCACAAACTCACTAGCACAGCCTGAATCGCGAGTGTTCCATCGAGGTCTGCGGGTGATGTCATCACTATAGGCTGCTGATAGTGACGTCACACGCAGGCCCAAAATTTGATGAGGATGGAGTTAGGGGAGTAGAGTATGACACAATTGACAGTTTATCAGTTTATGGCCGAGTTCGTTTTTGTCATCTTTTTCGTCGATTTGCTCCGAAATTTTGACAGGCACGTTATTTGTGAATTGAAACTGTCTGATCCAGTCACGTGTCTGTCAAAATTTCGAAGCAAATCGACGAAAAAGATGACAAAAACGAACTCGGCCTCCTATATAGTACCTATTTATATCTCACTAGATTCTGATTGACACATGACATAACCCAGCATAATCAGATACTTCTGTTGTTGTAAGGTCTATTTTCAAGTTTTCAACATTTTACGCTCTCAAACAAAAATCATATTTTTTCTAGTAAATACATATGTACTAAAAACGTAAGGTAATGTGTACCACAAGTATTCATGGCGCGTACGTCCCTGTACGACAGTTTTTGAGCATTGTGTACCACACTTCCATATTTAGAGTCTGGCAACGCTGCACCAAACCCAAAAAGCAGCAGAGCATGAAGTAACATGGCGGCATGGTGTTCGTCGTCCCGTTTTTCGGAGACTTTGAATGCGCGCGCATCCTATTTATGTGTTTAGTCTTTAAGCCCAAATTTCATATCAAACTCAAGAGGTTCGATAGTTTATTGGACAGTGCGCTCGCTTAACATCGGCGAGAGCCGGGTTCGGGTTCTCACGCCGAAAAACTTTTTTTTTTTTTTTTTTGTTTTTGAAACAATGACATAAAATAACAGTTATAGGGTCATTTTTAATTTTTAGGCTTTATCTACAAATTATGCTAAACATTTTTTTGACAATAAAGCATTATTATAGGGCTTAATTTTTGTATTTTGGATTTGCTAACTTTCTTTCATTTGAAATACCAACATAATTATTTATTATTACATTATACAAAAACTGGAATACTTACATCACCAAACAAAATAGGAAGGTATTGGTAGGTATTTTGGATTTTTCTCAAATAATATTTTTTAAATATTTTGGTAATAATGGATTTCTAATATTTGCCATTCATTTAAAAGTAAATATTTAATGTATATTACAAAAAAAATATTGCATTTGAAATAAATGAAAAATATTCATTAAATATTTTAATCAAATGATTATCGAACACATTTTTTTAATTCCGAATTATAATTTCAAATAAAAAATCGATGTGAGCAAGT